TTTTTTTTTCAACTTGCCGATTTGTTATTTACCCTTTCCTTGATGTGTAGGAAAAAATGACCCTTCAGCCAAGGGTCATTCTACCTACTAGTTTTTTGTATACTAGTAGCATTTTTGTATATTATAATAATTTGTGTGGAAAAAAATGATTTAAGCACTCATGGTTTAAATAACTAAAAGGGTAAATAGCTTAGACTATGGATTACTAACAAAGATTTAAGCACTCATGGTTTACTAACAAAGACAATTTATGGGTTAAGGTGGTCAAATCCAAATATTTAAATAACTTAGACTTTATGGAGGTGGAGTCTAAGAGTGGTATCTCTTGGGCTTGGAGAGGTGTTCTTACCTCCAGAGATCTTCTTAGGAGTGGTATCTATTGGAAGATTGGTAACGGTAATTATGTCAACTTATAGAGGGACACTTGGACTGGTAACTCCCCCTTTCCTTGAGATTGTTAACCTAGAGGTTGTGTCAAACTTGGATTTTAGTGTTTGCAATGATACTGACCATGATAGAACGATTTGGAAGGAGGATATTATTAAGACTATTGTTCCTGATAGTGTTTGGCATTTCATCAAACCAATCTGGATTCCCTTTAAGTTATGTAAGGATATAATCTGTTGGAAGATTGGTAACGGTAATTATGTCAACTTATAGAGGGACACTTGGACTGGTAACTCCCCTTTCCTTGAGATTGTTAATCTAGAGGTTGTGTCAAACTTAGATTTTAGTGTTTGCAATGATATTGTCAAACTTGATTCCCTTTAAGTTATCTAAGGATATAATTGTTTGGAGACTCACTCCGGATGGAATATTTTCTATAAAATTTGCCTACAATGAAGAGCGCAGTCGGAATTGTGGAAGTGGTGTTGGTGATAGTGGTCAATGGTCTTTCTGGAATCTTAAGATTCTTCCAAAAATTAAAGTATTCTTATTCCTCTTATTCAATGACAAGCTTCTAACTAAAAGTAAGCTCAACACAAGAGGCATGAATTTGAATCCCAAATGTGAATTCTGCAATGAAAATGAAGCATATGAGCATTTGTTTCTTGTGTGCCCCTTTACTAAGTAGATTCCTTGCTACCGATCCCAAGTTCTAATGATAATTCGATAAATGACTGGTGGTCTAGTGCTTTGAAGAACCAAGATTCTATTAGTGAATAGTTTGTTAAAGAAAAATTGGCAGAGTTGCTATGGTTTATTTGAAAGAATAGAAATGACAAGTGCTTTAACAATAAATCTGCTCATCCCTAAATTATTGTAGAAAGGACTTTTGCTTATTGGGGAGAAATCAAATATTGTTTTTCTTCTAGTACCAGTAAGATTTATAAAGAATGAAATTTTATAAGATGGCGTAATCCCAATTCCGGGACTATCAAAGTTAATTTTGATGCTACCTGTAGGTCGGATAGTTGGTGCTCCATAAGGTGCATTTCTATGGACCATATGGGTTTTATTCTTGACCTCAAAGCCTATTGTATTGGGGTCTCTTCAATAAATCAGGCTGAGGCCTAGGCTGCTTGTGAGGCCATCAACATTGCTTTGAATTTTAAAGATTCTCCTATCATTATTGAAGGAGACTCGAAGCTCGTGGTTGACTGCCTCAAGGAAAGAGTTAAGCCCCCGTGGAGATTGGAAAGCATCATTAGTGAGTGTCTCTTCCTCAAGTACGAGTTTAGTTCAAGCATTTCCTTCCGGCATACATATCGTGAAGCAAACCAGGCGGCTGATCGGCTACCTCGCAATGCCCCATCCTATCGTCTGACTAGTTTAGGTTCAATCCCAAAGGATCTCAGTAAGATTTGTTTTTTTTTATTCATAGGGAAGGGATTAGGAGTTTGGGAGTTGGTACTTGGAAGTTGGAACACCAAAGCTTAGAGGACTCTAACAACACAATCAAATCGGTCATTGTCCGTTAGCCCATGACCACATTTATTACCCACCGGAATGGCAGGAAGGCCCAACTCATCCGATTTGGATTGGCCAGAGGCAAAAATTTTACAAACCGTTTTCATTGTTATTTAATTTCAATGGCTTCTAAAGTTCTTTTTTTTTTCTTTTGGTTAATAAATGGCTTGAGTTTCAAATGAAAGCACCGCATCTTATATATCTTATATATATATATATATATTAATACAAAATGGATGCTCCCTACGTCCAGGAAATGGAATATACTCGTGCGAGTAGATCCCACGTGAGAATAATTATTATAGTAATTTAATAATTTAATTATTACAGTAATTAATTACTATAATTTAATAACTACTAATTATTATAGTAACTTAAAAAATATATAATTATAATTATTGTTAATAATTAGATATTTACTTTAACTTTACTTTAAATTAAAAGTATAAATACTGTTAATAAATTTAGTAATTATTATTATATTAAAAATAATTTAAAATGTTATTAAAAGTATTGTTATTGGTTATTTAATAAAATATTATAATTACTAATAAATACTGTTAATTTAATTTAATTTTGGTAATTATTAATTTGGTGAATATTGTTAATAAATCCTATTCATAAATTTAATAATTATTGTTATATTAAAAATAACTAAATAATCTTATTAAAACTATCATTAATGATTATTTAATTAAATAGTATAATTACTTACTTTTATTGATAAATGTTGTTAATAACGTTCTGACAATTGACTATTTGACCAAATGGATGGCCCGTTCAGACAACAAAAATTACAAGCAAAAAAATTATGGAACCGTTCTGACCACCGATTTTTGGGTCGATGATTCGATCATCCGGTTCGAACGGATAGTCCGTTCTGACAACAAAAATTATAGTAAAAAAATTGAGTTTGTGAGGTCCATTAAGTAGTATCATACGTGTTATGTCATTTGAGCATGTGGCTCATACGACCCAAAAAACAGAACCATTCTGGCCACCGATTTTTGGGTTGATGGTTCGATTGTTCGGTTCGAACGGATGACCCATTCTGACAACATAAAATTACAAGCACAAAATTACGAAATCATTTTGGCCACTGATTTTCGAGTTGACGGTTCAATCATCTGATTCGAATGGACGACCCATTCTAACAACAAAAATTACAGGAAAAAAATTGAGTGTGTGAGGTTCATTGAGCAGTATTAGACATGTTATCTCATTCAAGCATATGACTCATATGACCCGAAAATGGATTCTGGCCATTGGTTTTCGGGTTGACGGTTCAATCATCTAGTTTGAACGGACGACCCGTTCTGACAACAAAAATTAAAAATAAAAAATAAAAACAAAATGGTAAAAAACCATTAAATATGTCAACGGGTTGATGGTTCGACCACTCGAGTCAACGAGTCATTGACCGATTCAACGGTTTTTGGCCAGGGACCAGGATTGGGGTAAAACAAAACTGGTTGCCTGGACGGTTCCCAATTAAAAAAAAAAATGGATGACCCATTCTAACAACAAAAATTATAGGCAAAAATTTGAGTGTGTGAGGTCCATTAAGTAGTACCATACGTATTATGTCATTCGAGCATGTGACTCATACGACCTGAAAATGGAACCGTCCTAGCTACCAATTTTTGGGTCAACGGTTTGAACGGATAGCCCGTTCTGATAACAAAAATTTTAAAAATAAAAAAATGACCAAAAACCATTGAATGGGTCAATGGTTCGACCGCATGGGTCAATGGGTCGTCAACCGATTCAACGATTTTTGGCCAGGGACTGAGATTAGGATAAAACGGAACCGGTTGCTTGGATGGTTCTCAATTACAAAAAATAAAAAAAAGTTCTAAAACCATTAAATGGGTTAACGACTCGATGGTTCGACCGCTCAGATCAATGAGTCGTTGACCAATTCAACTGTTTTTTGCCAAGGACCGGGTCAACGGGTCAACGGATCTATGGTTCCATTCCATCCCTACAAAGCAAGGGCCCTCCGCTAGTGTTTCATTTTTTTTCCGAAGTAAATCAGTTTTCATTGCCACGTGGCAAGGGACTTATTGCTTGGTCTTTGCCACATGTGAAGAAACACCTGAATTGACTTAAGATTGTGGAGTTCAAATCAGCCCCCACAAGATTACCCCCACAACGTCCCACAACACATCCCCATCGTGTATTGGGAATATTTCTCGGTGATGATATTATTATTTCTGGCATTATCACTGGGGGGCAACGAGCAATCTTGTGGGGGCTTTGCCCCACATCACATCCCCACCGCGTATTGGATGGAAACATCTCCCGATGGTGACATCATTGGATTGGTACTATCATCGGGAGATGTTCACAATACATGGTGGGGATGTGCTGTGGGGCGACTCCTGGTGGAGCAGAGATGTGAATTCGTCTGGAAAACAAAACAAATGGAGACCGTTGCCATGTGGCAAAGATATTTTTTTGTTTACATCAGTGCTCATGAGTCATGACAATAGCATATAGCCACTATGAAGTCATCGGACATCCAAGAAGTATCCTAGATGAATCCGGATCTCCTGCCTACGAGAACTCTGCCCACGTCTATCCACAACACACTACCCCTGTGAACTGGGAACATCTCCCCCTCCATAATACTATGTAGGAGGATGAGATGTTCTCCATGTGTGACTGCAATGTTACATGAATAGACGTGGGCAGGAGATCCGGACTCATCTTAGATGGGACCTTAAGTAAATCATCCCATATGTGACCCACTTAACTAAATCACTTTAATATGAGAAAAGAAAAGACCCCACTTGCACTTCAATGACCATAAATAATATAAAGGGTAAATTATAAAGATCCCTTGTATTATGGGGTATGTGACAAAGACCCCCATGTACTTTGTTTTCCGACAAAGACCCCCCTGTACTATGACCATGAGACAAAGACCCCCCTTGACCGTTAAGTGACGAAATGCATTAAATTATTAAAATACCCCATTTAAAATTTTTCTATTTTCTTATTTTTTGCCCTTTTTCTCTTAAAACCTATTTAACCTATCGTTTTCCCTTTCTTATATTCTTTTCCCCTCCCTCACTGTCCTCTCTCATTCTTTCTCTCTCCCAATTCTCCGAAATGAAAGACATAATTCTCATAGCCACCGGGGGCCTCCTCGCGGTTTCACTTTTGCTGTGTTGTATTCTGCTTTGCTTTTTGATCAGAAAAAGAGCTACTCTATATGGGGTCTCCCAGGAGCCTCCGTTCTCCTTGAAGAAGGTGTTGGCGATGGGCGATTAGTCGTAGTTGGGGACGTCATGGGCGATTAGAGGCCCGAAAAAGGGGTTTCCGGTCGCCTAGGTGTGCTATGCTTTAGCATGTTTTTGTCGTTGTTCTGGAATTCTCCTGCTCCTATAATCTTACCACCTCTCGTTGACGGCTAAGAAGGGTATCGGAGCTCTCCATCTGGTCCTAGGCTCACTGAAACATCTTGAGGATGTCACAAAAAAAGCAGCCATTGATAAGAACTGGTTCTAACAAATAAATAAATGAGATGGGTTGAGACTTGAGAATGAAGACTTGAAGCTTACCATGATTGTAGAGCCCATGAGGTTTGAGAATGAAGATTTGAAGCTCTATAGGAATCCCTAGTAAACCTGACTTGAACCAGAGTCTTCCCCTAGAGGACAGGCAAATCATCCATCGCGAGCGACAGACACTCTTTGTAGCGCTGTCCCGACCTGTTAGTGAAGATGTTTGGTTGTGCTTCACCAATCTTTGACACCCAATTAGGGAGTTCAATTTTGGCTTGTTTGGCAGCATGGAAGCAGAGAGACACGTGAAGCTCGAGACCCGCATCTCGACCCCAAAAGCCTTAGAGCTTTCTGCCCGACCCCGATTGCTCTTACATGGTTAGTGTGTTGCCGTGGGAAATAGCATCCAGAGGAAGCCCAACAAATAAGTTTAATCCATTATCCTGCATAAAAAATAATAATTAATTTCAATAGATATACATAGATTTCTCCAATGAATTAAAGTCGAGACCCTAGTTTCTGCAATTCAAAACTAACAGAAGGAAAGAAAAAATAACACCTACTAGCTTTGATCCTTTCGGCATCGCCCTCTCTCCGACAATTTTCTCCGATCTGGAGACCTCCGGTTGTGTTGCCTTGAGAGAGACTTGAATTTCAACTATTGTCCATCTCCTAGCAAGATTAAAATAGACCTTATTTTTTCACTTAGACCTTACTTTTTCTAGTGAAGATATGCTTGAAACTAAAAAACCCAAGCTTCCGGTAAGATGAATCCGCCATCCTTATATTACAAGGGTAATATGGGAATTAAAAAAATATTACAATGGATTTTTTGGACGAAAGGTTAATGGAAGGGGTTTTTGTGTCAAGCTCATAGTACAAGGGATCTTTGTCGCAAAACAAATTACAGGGTCTTTGTCACGGACCCCGTACAGGGGGTCTTTGTAATTTACCCTAATATAAAATTGAGTAAAAATACTAGAAATCAGAGAATGATACTACAAGAAATCTATCTTTTGCGGGGATTGACATAAACAGACCAGAGCCCGAAAAACGAAGGAGACGATTCCATTCCATATCCATCGCCCTGTTTCTCTTTCGTCCCTGCAATTGCAAGTGAGTGCATCGGAAGATGGGGGGACAGAAAAAATGAGAAGCCTTGTCGAACAAGGAGGTAAAGTAGAGGGGAGCGCGGGCAATGCTGCGATCGATTGGCTGTAGCTCATCGATCGCGCGGTGCATATGGGGGGAGGAGCTCTCGTGGACGGATTTCGTCGTTGGTTCCAACGTCGTACTTGTTCTTCATCTTCTTCAAGCAACAGTAACAGTAGTTATGATGATAATAAGCTCAACAGCGCCAGCAAACGTTTAGTTGCAAACGAAGATATATCAGTTGGACGGCGGCAACGGAAAGAAGAGGAAGAACAGCAGGAGCTTAAGATCGTGACTGATTTCGATATTTCTTGTTTAAAGTTGATCAAAGTCCCCAAACGAAACTGCAACAATAGGATCACCGCTATGGATGCTCATAAGAAGGTCAGTTTGTGGAAGTCATGGTCTCGATTTATTGTTCGAAGAACCCTTTTTTATTGGATACGGACTTTCGGCCTTCGGGTTGTATGTGTTATATATGGAGGTAGAATTGGGATGTTGGGTTTTGTTTGGGATATTTCGATCAATTGTTTTGATTTGGTTTGGCTTGTTTGGTTTGTTTTTTGTTATCTCTATTTACGTATTTTCTTTTATTCTGGTTTAGTTCGGGAGAAAATATCGTCTTTCTATTTGGTTTCTTCATTTATGAGTCTTATTGAAGGAATAAGCTTGTTTTTATTGATCCTTTTATCTATTTCTCGTATTTGGTTTGTACTTGATCTCCTGTTCGTCCGTACTTGTTTTCAAACTTTTGTTTTTAGATAAGTTTGGTGGTGTCTTTGAATTGCTATGATGAAACATGAAGAAAAAAGGGATAGAGGATCACTGGTTCTTTAGATAGCTCCATTTTATAGTGAAATGGAGCAAGGCATGTTCTTAAAAAAAGAAAGGAGGTTTGGGGAGAAGGAAGCTAAAACAACTGAACTCCTACTCTGGGACCAAACCCATCAATTACAAGGACCAAACTGGACTCCTACTCTAGGACAATCACAGCCATAATATGCACAATTTAATTTCAAATTTCAAACAATAATCACTTGAAGTCTGAAAGGCGCCGACTGAAAGTGAAATTTAGATCCCATCTATGGCGCTTTTTAGACTCCCACCAGCAAGGACAGGAGACTGCCACCATGTACCTTTCTCTCAGGAATCATGAAATCAAGACTCCTGGCCCCACTGCCCTGACTGCTTCCTTCCTCTCAGCCCCCAATATCCCAGAAAATGATGAGGACTTTATAGACAGAGGAACCAAGACTTGGGGCGGTAGTAGGTGCTTGCTTTTTGCTGGATTTTCTGTTAAGTCAATGCAGTCGGAGATGGCACTCACAGCTGTAGAAGAATATCCATTGTCCATGCTGCTCCCAACTGTTGAAACTGATACTAGTCCGTGGAAACGTTCTAGAGTCCTGGCTCAATCATACTGCCCTTGCCTGTGTCACAGTCCTGGACCATGCTGCCATGTGCTGGCATAGAGCCCACTCTTACCTCTAGCAAATTTCTCACATGTGCCTTGCCCCCATGTGCAGTGCTTTCCCCCACCATGGACTTCGCAGAAATATGTGCTTCCTCTTTCCACAGTTCTCAAACCTCTTTCCCCCAGCATGATTGACACAGCAGTTAGTTTGACCACGGACACTCTTGGTGCAGCCTGAACGGCACAGTGCTTGCCCCCGCCATGTAAGATGCCAACCAGCAGGTTGGTAAGGTCTCCTGCTGGTCGTAGCAGAGACTTGGGATCGAATCCTGCCTGCACCTGGGTTGGGGGATGGGCTACCCCCGTTATGTAGCCCTTCAAAAGAAATAAAAAAATGCTTGCCCCCACCATGCACAACACAGTAATCAGTCCCACACATGCACACTTTTGGGGCATGTACCCCCACCTTGAAATAGGCAACATTTACCCCATTCTTGACCCTTGTGCTCCCTTCAGCACCTTTGGTGCACCCTGCAAATTTGCACCACTTCCCCCCTACCATGAACCTTACTACACGGTGCTTCCTTGGCCCCCTTAGTTCATCCTGGGTACTGGCTCCAGCGTCCCCCCACCCACACATTAGAGATACATAATCCAGCTCGTCCGTCTGCACTATGAGTACAACCTTCAGGCTTCAACATTGCATCTCTTGCCCCTACCATGCCTGATGCACCATCCTGATTTGCCTTGGGCTGCCTTTGTGCACCCTGGCTGTCCACACCACCTACCACCCCCATGCAGTATGCAGAAATCTGTCTTTCCCTCAGCACTCTTTGTGCAGCTCAACTGCTGGCATCTCCTCCCTCCATGGGCTTTGCAATAGTCAGTTTGCTTTCAGCACCCTTTTTGCATTCTGGTTAGTAGTCGCTCAAGACTGAACAGACACTTAAAAAGGAGAAGAAAAAAAAAAGAAAAGAAGAGAGAGAGAGAGAGATTTTGATAAAAGAGAGTTGGGTTGATGTGTTTAAATAGCCGCCCCCCTCTTAAATTTATATACATAGTATCATACTTGTAAAAGGACTGAATTGCTTACATGGCAAGATAAGATAAGATAAAGCTGAAAAAAGATTAATCCTAATCTTATAAAAAACTAGTCCTAATCTTATCATAAAAGAGAGTTGTGAAAACTTCTATTTTCATGTGATCACTATTCTTGAATATGCCTCTACCTGGGAACCTCTTCAAATATGCTAGTATCCTCTCATTGACTAATCACACTGATTGCATAACTGATGTTGGGTCGAGTGAGACAAAGATAGAGAAGTTTTCCAACTAACCATTGGAACATAGCTTTATCTTCAAGGGGTTCTCCACCCTCTGCACTGATCTTGTGATTTTGTTCGATGAGTGTGTCAGTAGGCTTAACACCCAACTTTCCTGTTTCTTCCAACAGGTCAAGAACATACTTTATTTGAGAAACAAAAATCCCATGCTTGGATCTGGCTACCTCAATGCCCAAGAAGTATCGTAGTTCTTCTAGATCTTTTACCTCAAACTCTTGATGAAGGAGTTGCTTAAGGGACTCAATCTCAGTATTATCATTTCCTGTTACTACAATATCATCCACATATATAACAAGCAAGGTTTAGGAAGAATTCACTCTCTTAATAAATAAGGTGTGGTCTGACTAGGCCTGTACATATCCGAACCTTTCAAGGGCTTGTCTAAATTTATCAAACCAAGCTCCGGGGGACTGTTTTAGTCCATACAAGGCTTTATTCAACCGACAAACCTTCTTTCCTGTCTCTATACCATAAAATCCAGGAGGCAATTGCATGTAAACCTCTTCTTGCAATTCTCCGTTGAAGAAGACATTTTTAACATCCATCTGATACAACGACCAAGAGTAACTGGTTGCAAGTGATAATAAGACTCTGATAGTGGTCATCTTTGCTACTGGTGCAAAAGTTTCTAAGTAGTCAATACCATGTGTTTAAGTAAATCCTTTTGCAACTAACCGGGCCTTATACCTTTCAATAGAACCATCAGCATTATGTTTCACAGTGAATACCCATCTACATCCAACCGGTTTCTTACCTTTAGGCTGATCAACTATCTCCCAAGTATTGTTTTTGATGAGGACATCCATTTCTGCTTTTATTGCATATTTCCATTTTGGTACTTCCAATGCTTCCTGTATTGTTTTGGGAATGGGAACATCAGCAATGGATGCGAGAAAAGACTTATAGGAGAGAGACAAATGATCGTAGGACAAGAACTGAGAAATGCTGTGAGCTGTGGATGTGGTGCAACGGTGCTTTCCCTTACGAACTGCTATGGGAGGATCAAGATCATCTAATGAAGGTGGAGGCTCCATGGTGGGATGTCTTTCATCTATAGTATCTGTGGTACCTGGATCTGGCTCTACAAAAGGAACTGGGGCTACTGTGGTACCGGGATTTGGATTTGCAGAGGAGACTGGGACTGGCCTGCATTGTTGATGTCCGAAATCAACCTGTCTCCATTGTCTGTGATAGACTCTCATATCCTTGCATTTCTGACAGCCCTCCCCATTACATCCCTCTTCACTTAATGGGATAGGTAAAGGAACTTCTGACGAGTTAACCCTATCCTTACTACTCTCCCCGTAAGGAGAAACCCTTGGATAACAGGGTACATCTTCAAAGAAAGTGACATCCATTGAGACAAATCTTTTCCCAGAAGTAGGTTCATAGCTGCAATATCCCTTTTGAGTTTGTGCATAACCAAGGAAAATACATTTTGAGGCCTTAGGATCAAACTTAGAACAATGAGGGCCAAGAATTTGAACAAAGCATTTACAACCAAAGGTTTTAAGGGGAATGGTAAATAACTCTTTATCAGGATATAAGAGGGTAAATGGAGATTTTATGTCAAGAACCTGTGAAGGAATCCTATTGATGAGATACACTACTGTAAGAACAACATCCCCCCAGAAATGTATAGGCACATTGGAGGTAAACATAATGCTTCTGGCTACCTCCAATACGTGTCTATTCTTTCTCTCAGCAACCCTATTTTGCTGTGGTGTATGAGGACAAGTACTCTGATGGATAATCCCATGTTCAAGCAAATAGGAGGCTAATGGGTTTGCAAAATATTCTTTCACATTATCAGATCTAAAAATTTTGATTTTGACCCTAAATTGGGTTAAAATCATCTGATGAAAGATCCGGGTTAATGCTGAAACCTCATCTCGAGAATGCATGAGATAAGTCCACGAAAAATGAGTATAATCATCAACAAACAGTAGGAAATATTTGTACCCCCCATGGTAGTGGTATGGTAAGGTCCCCAAACATCAATATGCACAATTTCAAAGGGAATATTACTTCTATTATTACTTAATGAATAGGTTGTCATGCAGCGTTTTGCACGTTCACAACTCTCACATTTCAAACTAGACATCTGGATAGATTCAAATAAACTATGAAACAAACTCTTCAAAGCCCGAAAAGATAAATGACCCATCCTATTATGCCAAAGCATAGCCTGATCAACAGATTGAGAAACACAAGACCTCTTAGTCTCTCTATCTTCCCAATGAGGGCTCCCTCCAAGCAGATAGACTTCATTTACCTCACGGCTAGTCCCAATCACCTTCCTTGTCTCCAGATCCTGAAAAACACATCGATCTGGAAAAAATGTTACTGAACAATTCTGGTTTTTTGTAATGCTACTAACTGAAAGCAAGTTAGTACTAAGCTTAGGAACATGCAAAACTGAAGATAAGGAAATAACATTTGACAACTTGATGTCTCCCTTGCCAGAAATAGGAACGAGGGAGCCATCAGCAATGGACACTTTGTCTCTGCCTGAAGATAAGTGATAGATAGTAAATAGTGACGACAAGCCAGTCATATGGTCAGATGCTCCAGAATCTATTATCCATGAATGTGCTATATTACCTGTAACTGAGGCATGGTGAGCTGAGGCCTGATTACCTGAATGAGCAAAAGCTGAGGTAGGGGGTGTTGATGGTGTCTGAGGTGGTGGAGCTGAATTACCAACTTCATTTTCCAGCTGAACTAGAGTAGCTCGGACAACAGCTAGAGTATCTAGAGGATTGCCTCTTGTGCTAGATGAGGTTGTACTATCAGTGTTAACAACCATATTTGCATTCCCCTTTTTGTTTCTGAGTTTTGCTGGAACTAGATGTGGATGTAAATTCCAACAGGTCTCTTTAGTATGTTTAGGTTTCTTGCAATGCTCACATACTAGGTCCTTCTTAGTTTCTTTCTTCATGTTTCTTTCCTTATCACTCCCAGATTTGGGCTTAACTGCTGCCAGAGCTGATTCAAAAGGCTGTTGTTGTAGCATAACTTTTCTCGTAGTCTCTTCGCTATGCACTAAGGAATAGGCCTGGGACAGAGTTACACTGTCTCTTGTTAACAATTGCTGCCTCACAATATCATATTCCGAATTTAGACCAGCCAGGAACTCAAACACTCTATTAGTTTCAATCTGCTTTCTGTACATCTGTGCATCCTTCTGACTTTCCCATTCAATTGATTCAAGGTGGTCAATTTCATGCCACAGGGATTTCAAGATTGAAAAATAAACAGAAACTTGTTTCTCACCTTGCTTGAGATTTTTAACCTCACATTTCAGCTCATAAGCCCTAGCAACATTAAGGGGCTGAGAGTAAGTTTCTTTCACAACATCCCATTATTTCTTTAGCTGTTTTTGCCCATAAGTAATTTCGGCTGATGTGTAGCTGCATGGAATTGCATAGCCATGTCATCACCAAATAATTTTCCTGAATCCACTTAGCATAAGTGGGATCCTCCTTATTTGGTTCCTTCACAATCTCCCAACAAATAGTTCAGTTTTCCCCTTCCCCCAATGGCCATCATGGCTGATTGGGCCCACTCTAAGTAGTTTGAACCATTAAACTTTACAGTTGTAATCTAAAGGGTGTTTTCAGTCATGCCACCTGAACCAGTCCCAAAAACACCCTCCCCTTGGTGCTTGAACTCCATTCTTGGTTAGGGATTAAGCAAAAAACACCTTCTATTTACTGTAACAATCAGCCCACTGGGTCTGAAAAAACTAATAGTTGTTGGCCTGGGTACAAAACTCCAAAAACAAAGATCGGAGAACAGAACTCTGATAGCAGCCAAACTTAAAAACAAGTCTGATCTCTTATACAGACACAGTAACAGTCCTGGGTTTCAGGGTTTTCTCTTAAAACCCTAGAAGAGAAAAAGAAAAAAAAATTCTATATAGCCGTACCTCACAAATTAAGCTATCCTTGTTGCTGCCCTCAAGAAGGAATAAGACCTTACCCAGGAATTTCTGAGAAAAAAAACCTGATCTTGATTCAAAAAATTCTTGCTGAAATTCTGATCGCCAACTTCAGTTTGCTCAAAACTGATCTTGATTCTGATCAACCCGAGAAACTTCTGAAACAGAACTGATCTCGGAGAAAAATCTTCTTGATCACCAATTTCAATCTTGATTAGAGAACCAAAAAAATCTGATTGGCACCTCCAATCTTGACCAAAGACCTAACCTTGATCACTTAATTCTTCTCTGATTCATCCTAATTACAAGGAGCACTTTCCAATCCTTGGACAGTTGCTGAAGACTTCTTGTAATCTCCAAGAATCAGTCGAATGAAAAAACTCAGCCCTAAATAATTCTCATGTGGYYGGCTGAATTARTTCCACATGAGAAACCCTAGATCGAATGCTCTGATACCAAGTAGTCGCTCAAGATTGAACAAACACTTTAAAGGAGAAGAAAAAAAAAGAAAAGAAAAGAAGAG